ATTGCTGAGTGAAAGAAAGTCACATCCAAGAGGACAAGAATTCTGATTGGGTCACTGCTGAATCTCCAGCATCTAAAACAGTGTCTGGCCAAAACACCCCCTCAATATTTAATACATTTTTTTTAAAGGCCAGGTATGGTGGCTCACATCCTTGATCCCAGCACTTTGGGAGGCTGAAGAGAGATGATTGCTCGAGGCCAGGAGTTCGAGACCAGCCTAGACAACATAGTGAAATTCCATCTCTACTTAAAAAAAAAAATAGCCGGGCGTGGTGGCTCAAGCCTGTAATCCCAGCACTTTGGGAGGCCGAGGCGGGCGGATCATGAGGTCGAGAGATCGAAACCAACCTGGTCAACATGGTGAAACCCTGTCTCTACTAAAGATACAAAAAATCAGCTGGGCATGGTGGCGCGTGCCTGTAATCCCAGTTACTCAGGGGGCTGAGGCAGGTGAATTGCTTGAACCCGGGAGGCGGAGGTTGCGGTGAGCCGAGATCGCGCCATTGCACTCAAGCCTGGGTAACAAGAGCGAAACTCTGTCTCAAAAAACTAAAAAAAAAAAAAAAAAAAAAAAAAAAAAAATTAAAAAAAAAAATAGAGCTGGGTGCAAGTGGCTCATGCCTATAATCCAAGCACTTTGGGAGGTTGAGGCAGGCAGATCACCTGAGATCGGGAGTTCAAGAACAGCCTGACCAACATGGTCAGGCTACTAAAAATACAAAAATTGCCAGGCACGGTGGCTCAAGCCTGTAATCCCAGCACTTTGGGAGGCCGAGGCGGGTGGATCACGAGGTCGAGAGATTGAGACCATCCTGGTCAACATGGTGAAACCCCGTCTCTACTAAAAATACAAAAAATTAGCTGGGCATGGTGGCACGTGCCTGTAATCCCAGCTACTCAGGAGGCTGAGGCAGGAGAATTGCCTGAACCCGGGAGGCGGAAGTTGCGGTGAGCCGAGATCGCGCCATTGCACTCCAGCCTGGGTAACAAGAGCGAAACTCCGTCCCAAAAAAAATAGAGCTGGGCGCAAGTGGCTCATGCCTATAATCCAAGCACTTTGGGAGGTTGAGGCAGGCAGATCACCTGAGATCGGGAGTTCAAGAACAGCCTGACCAACATGGTCAGGCTACTAAAAATACAAAAATTGCCAGGCACGGTGGCTCAAGCCTGTAATCCCAGCACTTTGGGAGGCCGAGGCGGGTGGATCACGAGGTCAAGAGATCGAGACCATCCTGGTCAACATGGTGAAACCCGTCTCTACTAAAAATACAAAAATTAGCTGGGCATGGTGGCATGTGCCTGTAATCCCAGCTACTCAGGAGGCTGAGGCAGGAGAATTGCCTGAACCCAGGAGACGGAGGTTGCGGTGAGCCGAGATCGCGCCATTGCACTCCAGCCTGGATAACAAGAGTGAAACTCCGTCTCAAAAAAAAAAAAAAAAATACAAAAATTAGGCAGGCATGGTAGCACATCTATAATACCAGCTACTTGGTCGATGCCGCACACGTTCAGGGACCAGACTGAACTGGAGAGATCCTTGCTGATAATCCCAGGATGCCCTTGCTTCTTTTTGCCTTCTCGGGCGCCACCCCAGACCTGCTTGAGCAGGATAAGTGTCCCTAGGTAGGAGGTAGTCTGCACTTAAAAAGAAGCATCCTGCCAGACACAGTGGCTCACACCTGCAATCCTAACATTTTGGGAGGCTGACCCAGACAGATTGCTTGAGCCCAGGAGTTTGAGACCAGCCCGGGGAACATGGCAAAACCTCATGTCTACAAAAGTACAGAAAATTCGCTGGGCATTGTGGCGCATACCTGTGGTCCCAGCTACTCAAGAGGCTGAGGTAGGAGGATCGCTCGAGCCTTCAAGGTGGAGCTTGCAGTGAGCCCAGATTGGGCCACTGTATTGCAGCCTGAGTGACAGAGTGAGACCCCATCTCAAACAAAAAATAAATAAAAAATAAAATAAAATAAAAACAAGCATACTAGTGATTCTTGTAGTAGCTGAAATTGAGAACCACTTGAGATGTTTACTAAAAATGCAGATTATGGCCGGGCGCAGTGGATCACGCCTGTAATCCCAGCACTTTGGGATGCCAAGGCAGGCAGATCACCTGAGATCAGGAGTTCAAGACCAGCCTGGCCAACATGGTGAAACCCCATCTCTACTAAAAATAAAAAAATCAGTCGGGCATGTTAGCGAGTGCCTGTAGTCCCAGCTACTTAGGAGGCTGAGGCAGGATAATTGCTTGAACCTGGGAGGTGGAGGTCGCAGTGAGCTGAGATCGTGCCACTGCACTCCAGCATGGGCGATGGAGTGAAACTCCGTCTCAAAAACAAAAATGCAGATTATTTTTTACAACTGTGGAGGTGCAGAGGCAGCAAGGCTTGACCTACCCTGTAGTCCAACTCCTTCTTCTGCCCCGATGGAGGAACTGCAGCCCAGAGAAGGAAAGTGACTTGCTAGAGACACACAGGAAGTTGCCTTCTGACTTTCAGGCGTCTCACAGAGAGCTGACCAGCTCACTCAGTAAGAGACTCATTTGCCTCAAAAGCATCAGTTCAAGCAGCTGCTAAATATCAGCTCTATCTGCTCAACGCCAAGGAGATATTTACTCCTTCTGAGGAGGCGGGGGAAATCCAAAGGAGCTTTTAATAGGCCTCTTTAGGGTAAGTGTTGGTGAGGTCACAGAAGGATACACTTCCCCAAGCTGACAGGAACCATTATTTTCTGGTTTCTCTTTTCACATTTACTAACCATATTTAACTTAACATGAAATGACCAAATTTCAAATATGCAAAAACTACATTCCGGGTAAGCCCCAGAAAACTAGCATCTACCACAAGGTTCGTCTCATTCCAGCCACCAATTTGCCATCTTAGCCGGGCACGGTGGCTCAAGCCTATAATCCCAGCACTTTGGGAGGCTGAGGCGGGTGGATCACGAGGTCAAGAGATCAAGACCAACCTGGTCAACATGGTGAAACCCCATCTCTACTAAAAATACAAAAAATTAGCTGGGCATGGTGGCACGTGCCTGTAATCCCAGCTACTCAGGAGGCTGAGGCAGGAGAATTGCCTGAACCCAGGAGGCGGAGGTTGTGGTGAGCCGAGATCGCGCCATTGCACTCCAGCCTGGGTAACAAGAGCGAAACTCCGTCTCAAAAAAAAAAAAAAAAAACAAAAAAACAATTTGCCATCTGACCTTGAGGGACTGCAGGCACATCTCCTAGTCCTTCGGGGCTCCGGCCAGATGAAATGACCCCCATGAATCTTTCCACTTCTGACGATCTGTGGTGCCCTGCGTCTAAGTCACTCTACGATTAGCCTGTAGTCAAAGGTCCTTCCTGCCTTATCTGCTGACTGGTCTTTGAAGAGGCCCATTCTAAAATGCAGGTTTGCTCTAGTTCAGGAAAACAAAGCAGGGCCAAAGATCTCCTGAGCCAAAGAGATGATCTGGAAAGAGGTTAGCAATCAGTCCACAGACTGACCCGGACAACAGACATCAAACATGAAGGCTGCACTTCCATGGGGAAATAAGGCCGTCCCTAAGCAAAGAGGCAGAGGAAAAGAGGGAGGACAAAGCGGCCCCGAAGGCCACAGGCAGGGACACTTTCAACTAGAACAGGAAGTCACATTTCTTTTTTAGGTTCTGCCCATGATGGCCCACCTTAACGGACTCTCGCTCTGTTGCCCAGGCTGTAGTGGCGTGATCTCTGGCTCACTGCAACCTCCTTCTCCCAGGTTCAAGTGATTCTCCTGCTTCAGCCTCCTGAGTAGGGATTACAGATGCCCACCACCCCCAGCTAATTTTTAGTATTTTTAGTAGAGACGGGGTTTCACCATGTTGACCAGGATGGTCTCGATCTCTTGACCTCGTGATCCGCCTGCCTCGGCCTCCCAAAGTGCTGGGATTACAGGCTTGAGCCACCGCGCCCGGCCTTTTTTTTTTTTTTTTTTTTTTTTTTTGAGAGGGAGTTTTGCTCTTGTTACCCAGGCTGGAGTGCAATGGCGCGATCTCGGCTCACTGCAACCTCCGCCTCCTGGGCTCAGGCAATTCTCCTGCCTCAGCCTCCTGAGTAGCTGGGATTACAGGCACGTGCCACCATGCCCAGCTAATTTTTTTGGATTTTTTAGTAGAGACGGGTTTCACCATGTTGACCAGGATGGTCTCGATCTCTTGACCTCGTGATCCACCCGCCTCGGCCTCCCAAAGTGCTGGGATTATAGGCTTGAGCCACCGCGCCCGGCCTATTTTATTCATTTGTTAATAGAGACGGTGTTTTGCCATGTTGGCCAGGCTGGTCTCGAACTGCTGACCTCAGGTGATCCGCCCGCCTTGGCTTCCCAAAGTGTTGGGATTATAGGCGTGAGCCACCACGCCCGGCCAGTATCTTGAAATTTTCTACAATAAAAATGTCTTAAAATTGTGCGTCAAAATAATACGAATACAAAAAAATACAATTAAAAAGTCAGGAGGCAATACTGTCATGCAAAACCATGACGCTAGTTGTGTGAGGGCGGTAAGGATGAGTCATTTCCTCCAAAACTCGGGGTGAGAGGGGGAACCCTCGTGTTTTTGCCCTCCCTGTCCCTGAAGGGACTGTTCTCATCGATTCTCTCCCCCTCGTCCTCGAGGTTTTTGTTAGGCTCCCTGTCTTCTTACCAAGTTGAGATTATCCGGGTTCTGGCATTAACAGGGTTTGAGGAAAGCGGGTCAATTCCCTGAACCCCAAACCTTGGACCCTGCCTGCGGGCTGATTTCCCAGCCACTCGCCAGAGCACGGCGACCCCTAAGGTCGCAGTCCGGCTTCGCAAGCAGCCTCCTACGGACGCGTGGGTAGCCCTTGCGCGTGCGCGCTCGAGCAGTGGGACTACATCTCCCAGGAGGTTGTGCGCCGACCAGCGGACGTGCCCTTGGTCGCAAAGGACTACATTACCCACTGATACCTTGCGGGAGGCGGTGGCTGGACCTCAAGAGCAGAACCATTGGTTCAGCGTCTGGAGGGAGAACTGCGCAGTGATTGGCCCAGGAGCCCGCCAGTTTCGGCTAAGCTCAGTGGAGTTTTGCTGTTAAGACTGCGCGAGGAGGTAGAGAGAGCAGAGTGCGCCGAGCCGGGCAGCACCCGCCGAGCCATGTAAGTAACCTCTACCTCCGTCCTTCTCGCAGTCCTCCCGGGGACCTGCACCCTGGCTCCCCAGGGCGGTCGGGAGGGAGCACACGCAGCAGGCGCTCACTAGGGGCGGGGATTGTGCGCACACGTGTCACACCTGACCTGAGAAGCATCTCCTGGGACACCGGCGGCAGAGCCCCGCGCACGCCCCTGAGCACCTGAGCTCCAGGGCGTCCCCTGGGACTCGGGGAGAAAAAACAGACTCCGAGGCACACGTGACATCTGTGTACTAACGCGGGGACATCTGCAGAGCTGCTCAGCTGAACCCTTGGGCACAGGGTACCCGAACACCGGGAAAAGCCTCCTATTCTCCGGTCTTCTCCTGACACCGATCCAGGACACCTGCCACTCGGGCTTGCTTCTCCTTCCCAGCCATCTGGGCGGGAAACTGACTGCTCAGTGTGACCTGAGCGGTCCCTGGGTAGCCCCTGGAGAGGTTTTGCCTCTCAGTCGCTTGCCGAATGTTTAAACTGCTCCTGGGCTCCTGGGGAGGAGTTCCAGGGTGGGTGAGAGGAGAAAAGGAATGTCTGTGGTGGAGACTGTCATCCTGTAAGAAGTCTCTCACCCCCTCACCCCCACTCCCTGGCCCCGTTACCACAAGTATTCAAGAACTAGGGTAATTCTAAGTTTTATTTTAGGGATTTTTTTTTTTTTTTTTTTTTTTTTTTTTTTTTTTTTTTTTTGCCGTAACAAATTAAAACATTATAGAATTACATAAGCAGGTCTCCCTTCCTTCTTCCCTTCCCAACCCTTCTCCCAGTGATCAGTTACCAACTACCTGTTGATGCATGTGTGGTTATACACTTCTTTCTATGCATTGTACAACTCAACAGCGTATATAGGTATTACTGGGTTTTTTGTTGTTGTTGTTTTGTTTTTTGTTTTTACAAAAAGGGAAAAAAGTACATCTCCTGGAAGGAATGCTTCTTAGCTGAGCTCTGGTGGATGAGAGGAGCTAGCCTTGGAAAAGTGAGTAGGGGCTGGGAGTGGGGCTGCATTTCAGATGCGGGGAGCTGGAGGAGTGGCGGCAAGGCAGTAGATGCGAGCACTCGCCGAGTTTTCCGGGAACTGGGCAAAAGCACTCAGACCACCCTGGTTAAATGAGGAAAGGGGAAGAATGGTCCAGAGTGAGGCTGAAGAGGTCAGTAGGTCTGGGTTGAGGGGGCCCAGGAGCATAATTTTCCTTTTTTTGAGATCCCAGGCGCTAGACTGGAGTGCCGTGGCGCGATCTCGGCTCACTGCAACCTCTGCCTCCCAGGTTCAAGCTATTTTCCTGCCTCAGCATCCCGAGTAGCTGGGACTACAGGTGCACACCACCACACCCAGCTAATTTTTGTATTTTAGTAGAGATGGGGTTTCACCATGTTGGCCAAGATGGTCTTGATCTCTTGACTTCGTGATCTGCCCACCTTGGCCTCTCAAAGTGCTGGGATTACAGGCGTGAGCCACCACGCCTGGCCTTTCTTTCTTTCTTTCTTTCTTTTTTTAATAAAGACGGAGTCTTGCCGGGCGCGGTGGCTCAAGCCTGTAATCCCAGCACTTTGGGAGGCCGAGGCGGGTGGATCACAAGGTCGAGAGATCGAGACCAACCTGGTCAACATGGTGAAACCCCGTCTCTACTCAAAATACAAAAAATTAGCTGGGCATGGTGGCGCGTGCCTATAATCCCAGCTACTCAGGAGGCTGAGGCAGGAGAATTGCCTGAACCCAGGAGGCGGAGGTTACGGTGAGCCGAGATCGCGCCATTGCACTCCAGCCTGGGTAACAAGAGTGAAACTCCGTCTCAAAAAAAAAAAAAAAAAAAAAAAGACGGAGTCTTGCTCTTTTCTCCCAGGCTAGAGTACAATGGCATGATTTTGGCTCACTGCAACCTCCACCTCCTGGGTTCAAGCAGTTCTCCTGCCTCAGCCTCCCAGGTAGCTGGAACTACAGGCGCCCACCACCACGCCCAGCTAATTTTTGTATTTTTACTACAGACGGGGTTTCAGCATGTTTAAATTTTTGTATTTTTTGTAGAGTTGGGATTTTGCTCTGTTGCCCAGGCTGGTCTTGAACTCCTGAGCTCAAGCAATCCACCCACCTCTGCCTCCCAAAGTGCTGGGATTACAGACATGAGCTGCTGAGCTCAGTCCAAAAGTGAGTGCTATTTTAGACACTCTAGTCAGGGAAGGCTGCTCTGAGGAGGTAATATTTGAGTAGAGACCCTAAGAAACTTGCCTGGTGTTTACTTCGTGTCTCTTGCATTTAGCTTGATACTGATGGACATTGTGTGGGCCAGAGGCAGGGATGGTTGGCTATGATCCCAAACCAGATGGCAGGAATAACACCAGGTTCCAGGTGGCAGTGGCCGGGTCTGTGTCTGGATTTGTCACTCGGGCGCTGATCAGTCCCTTCGACGTCATCAAGATCCGTTTCCAGGTACTCTTCCCCTTTTTCCATGCAGTGGACTGGAGGACAAGTTCAGTCTTCCTTGCCAAAGCAGTTTCTAAAACTTGGAATTCTATCCACATGAAGGCCTCACTTTTTCTGAAAGTTCCCCTTCACATTCCAGCCCACCCTGCTGTCCTGACCTTTTCAATTTTGATTCCTAGCTTCAGCATGAGCGCCTGTCTCGAAGAGACCCCAACGCAAAGTACCATGGCATCCTCCAGGCCATTAGGCAGATTCTGCAGGAGGAGGGGCCAACAGCTTTCTGGAAAGGACACATCCCAGCCCAGATTCTCTCCATAGGCTATGGAGCTGTCCAAGTAGGTGGCAGGGGACCTGGCCAGGCCTCTGGGATCTCGTTGCTCAATGGAGGAGCAGAGGGAGGGTGAAGCACGCAGGAATGGCGTGTAGGGCAGGACGGGAGAGGCGGGCCCCACACGTCCCACGGGCCTCTCCTGACCAGTGGAAAATGTCAGAGTGAGCTGCTATGCCTTAGGCATTCCCCTCCCCCACATCCCCTCGTCTATCCTGCATGACTTAGGTGTTGCATCTTGGAGACTGATCTGATGTCATGCCTTCTGTGGGGCTTCGGACAGCATTAATGTATTTCGGTTTTTGAAGTACCACCTTCACACTTGTGGTTCATCTGAACTTCACCACAGTGTCATGAGGAGGGCAGAGCAGGTGTCATGTGGGTCTCAGGGAGGTGAAATCAGCTGTCTGAGACCACACAGCCTGCACATGGCAGGGCTAGGGTTAGAACTCCGGCTTCACTCAGTGGAGCACCGGTATAGTCATAGTGCACAGAGTGTGGTTTTATGCAGTAGACATAAGAACCAGCCCTGAGGCTGGGCGGGGTGGCTCAAGCCTGTAATCCCAGCACTTTGGGAGGCCGAGGCAGGCAGATCATGAGGTCGAGAGATCAAGACCATCCTGGTCAACATGGTGAAACCCCGTCTCTACTAAAAATACAAAAAATTAGCTGGGCATGGTGGCATGTGCCTGTAATCCCAGCTACTCAGGAGGCTGAGGCAGGAGAATTGCTTGAACCCAGGAGGTGGAGGTTGCAGTGAGCCGAGATCGCGCCATTGCACTCCAGCCTGGGTAACAAGAGAGAAACTCCATTCTCAAAAAAAAAAAAAAAAAAAGAACCAGCCCTGAACAGTGCCAGCCATGGCCCAGGCCCCTTTTGGAAGCACTTCACATACACTCTGTCACAGCAGTCCTTAAGGCAGGGGCTGTGTCACTCCCATTTCACGCATGAGAAGACTGAGGTAGACAGAGCCATACCCTGTCTCAACAACAACAAAAAAAGAAGCTAGGCCATCTTCACTTGGCTGAAGGAAGATCTGAGCATAGCCCTGGTGCAGTGGCTCAGGCCTGTAATCCCATCACTTTGGGAGGCTGAGGTGGGAGGATGGCTTGAGCTCAGGAGTTTGAGACCAGCCTGGGCAACATAGCACGACCTCCTCTCTACTAAAAAATTTTTTTTAAAAAGCCAGGTGTGGTGATACATGCCTGTAGTCCCAGCTATTCCAGAGGCAGGAGAATCATTTGAGCTAGAGAAGTCAAGGCTGCTATGAACTATGATCGTGCCACTGGACTCCAGCCTGGGCAACTGAGCAAGACCTTGCCTCAAAAAACAAAACAGGGCCAAGCGCAGTGATTCACGCGTGTAATCGCAGCACTTTGGGAGGCCAAGGTGGGCAGATCGCTTGAGCTCAGGAGTTTGAGATCAGCCTTGGCAACATAGTGAAACCCTTACTCTACCAAAAAATACCAAAATTACATGGACATGGTGGCATGAGCCTGGAGTCCCAGCTACTTGGGGGGTGAGGTAGTAGGATTGCTTGAGCCCAGGTAGGTTGAGGCTGCAGTGAGCCGTGTTCATGCCACTGTACTCCACAGCCTAGGTAACAGAGCGATACCTGTCCCTCCTTTTTTTCTTTTAAAGACGGGGTTTCACCATGTTGGTCAGTATGGTCTTGAACTCCCGACCTCAAGTGATCTGCCTGCCTTGGCCTCCAAAGTGCTTGGATTACAGGCGTGAGCCACTACGCCCAGCCACAATACTTGTCTCTAAAAAAAAAAAAATGCCAGGCGCAGCAGCTCACACCTGTAATCCCAGCACTTTGGGAGGCCGAGGTGGGCGGATCACCAAGTCGAGAGTTCAAGACCAGCCTGGCCAACATAGTGAAACCCTATCTCTACTAAAAAATACAAAAATTAAGCCGGGCACATTGGCTCACACATGTAATTCCAGCACTTTGGGAGGCTGAGGTGGGTCAATCACCTGAGGTCGGGAATTCAAGACCAGCCTAACCAACATGGAGAAACCCCATATCTACTAAAAATACAAAATTAGCTGGGCATGGTGGCACATACCTATAATCACAGCTACTCGGGAGGCCGAGGCAGGAGAATCGCTTGAGCCCAGGAGGCAGAGGTTGCAGTGAGCTGAGATCACACCATTGCACTCCAGCCTGGGCAACAAGAGCAAAACTCCGTCTCAAAAAAAAAAAAAAAAAAAATTAGCTGGGTGTGGTGGCAGGCACCTGTAATCCCAGCTACTCAGGAAGCTGAGGCAGGAGAATCACTTGAACCCAAGAGGCAGAGGTTGCAGTGAGCTGAGATTGTGCCACTGCACTCCAGCCTGGGCGACAGAGCAACACTCTGTCTCAAAAAACAAAACAAAAGGGCCGGGCGCGGTGGCTCAAGCCTGTAATCCCAGCACTTTGGGAGGCTGAGGCGGGTGGATCACCAGGTCAAGAGATCAAGACCATCCTGGTCAACATGGTGAAACCCCGTCTCTACTAAAAATACAAAAAAATTAGCTGGGCATGGTGGCACGTGCCTGTAATCCCAGCTACTCAGGAGGCTGAGGCAGGAGAATTGCTTGAACCCAGGAGGCGGAGGTTGCGGTGAGCCGAGATCGCGCCATTGCACTCCAGCCTGGGTAACAAGAGCGAAACTCCGTCTCAAAAAACAAAACAAAACAAAACAAAACAAAAGGCCGGGCGCGGTGGCTCAAGCCTGTAATCCCAGCACTTTGGGAGGCCGAGGCGGGTGGATCACGACGTCAAGAGATTGAGACCATCCTGGTCAACAAGGTGAAACCCCGTCTCTACTAAAAATACAAAAAATCAGCTGGGCATGGTGGCGCGTGCCTGTAATCCCAGCTACTCAGGAGGCTGAGGCAGGAGAACTGCCTGAACCCAGGAGACGGAGGTTGCGGTGAGCCAAGATCACGCCATTGCACTCCAGCCTGGGTAACAAGAGCGAAACTCCGTCTCAAAAAAAAAAAAAAAAAAAACACACACACACAAAGAAAGATCTGAATATAAGGGAGTCACCCTGAGGAACCTGCTCCTTACAGAACCTGCCCCAGAAAAGAGTGCTTCTCAGACAGTGCCACTGCAAGCTGCACTGAAGGGGGTTCCTGCAGGAATCAGAACATGGTCATCTTTCCCAGTTCTCAGAAAACTTAAGTTAGCCAGTGACATTTCCTGATGTACATTTTTCCATCATGTATCTTTTTTTTTTTTTTTTTTTTGAGACGGAGTTTCGCGCTTGTTACCCAGGCAGGAGTGCAATGGCATGATCTCGGCTCACCACAACCTCCGCCTCCTGGGTTCAAGCAATTCTCCTGCCTCAGCCTCCTGAGTAACTGGGACTGCAGGAACGTGCCACCATGCCCAGCTAATTTTTTGTATTTTTAGTAAAGATGGGGTTTCACCACGTTGACCAGGATGGTCTCGATCTGTTGTCCTCGTGATCCACCCGCCTCGGCCTCCCAAAGTGCTGGGATTACAGGCGTGAGCCACCGCGCCCGGCTTTTTTTTTTTGAGATGGAGTCTCGCTCTGTCAAGCTGTAGTGTGATCTTGGCTCAGTGTAACCCCCACCTCCTGGGTTCAAGCGATTCTCCTGCCTCAGCCTCCCGAGTAGCTGGGACTACAGGCGCCCACCACCACGCCCAGCTAATTTTTGCATTTCCAGTAGAGATGGGGTTTCACTATGTTGGCCAGGCTAGTCTTGAACTTCTGACCTTGTGATCCGCCCACCTCAGCCTCCCAAAGTGCTGGGATTACAGGCATGAGCCACTGTGCCCAGCCCCCATATATCTTCTTAACCCTTTGGGAATCTGGTTCTAATCAGAGTATCAAATGGCATCTGAGTTTTGCATAGAGTTTTATATTTATCACATGCTGTCGCTGCTCAGGAAGAACATTTCCTGACCTTTCCCTCGCCCCTACACCTGGGCCCCAGCCAGGTCACAGGTGATGCATTTGGGGAGTATTTGGTCCTTGCCCTCATCCTTTTGGCTATCAGTGACTTCATTTGCTGTTGCAGTTCTTGTCATTTGAAATGCTGACGGAGCTGGTTCACAGAGGCAGCGTGTATGACGCCCGGGAGTTCTCAGTGCACTTTGTGTGTGGTGGCCTGTCTGCCTGTATGGCCACCCTCACTGTGCACCCTGTGGATGTTCTGCGTACCCGCTTTGCAGCTCAGGGTGAGCCCAAGGTGAGTGGCCAGGGCCTGACCGGGGAGCCCATATAGGAAGGTGTCACAGGGGTTGTGTTATTTTTTATCTTTTATTTGATAAGCATATTTTTTTTGTTGTTGATATTTTATATACAGATATACATTTTTTTTCTTTTTTTTTTTTGCGATGGAATCTCACTGTCACCCAGGCTGGAGTGCAGAGGCATGATCTTGGCTCACTTTAACCTCCACCTCCTGGGTTCAAGCGATCCTCCTACCTCAGCCTCCCAAGTAGCTGGGATTACAGGTGCCCACCACTACACCCAGCTAATTTTTTGTATTTTTAGTAGAGACAGGTTTCACCATGTTGGCCAGGCTGGTTTCAAACTTCTGGCCTTAGGCAATTTGCCCACCTTGGCCTCTCAAAGTGCCAGGATTACAGGTGTGAGCCACCGCACCCAGCCTATATATATATTTTTTGAGACAGGGTCTTGTTTTATTGCTCAGGCTAGAGTGCAGTGATATAATCACTGCTCACTGCAGCCTCGACCTCCTGGGGTCAAGTGATCCTCCTGCCTCAGCCTCCCCAGTAGCTGAGACTAAATCTGGCTAAGTTTTGTATTTTTTTAGAGACAGGGTTTCGTCGTGTTGCCCAGACTGGTCTCAAACTCTTGAGCTCAAGCAGTCTGCCCACCTCAGCCTCCCAAAATGCTGGGATACAAGCGTGAGTCACCGCACTCGGTAAAGGATGAGTTCTTGTCCTTGCAGAAGGCAAAGCTGGGAGAGGTTTGGGTTTTCAGTTTGTAGCAGTCAGTCTATAAAACCCATGACCATGGGCAGCACTGTGCAGGGTGCCCTGTGTCCCTGCCTCGAAAGAGCTCACAGCCTCCCTGGGGAGACAGAACCTACCAGTGTGAAACAGAACAAATGAATACCCAGCAGTGGGCTGGATCAAGGACTGCATCTGGGAAAGTGAGACCCAATAACTTACTGCTGGATTATTATGAGAGTGTCTTTGGTTTTTTGTTTGTTTGTTTGAGACAGAGTCTCACTTTGTTGCCCAGGCTGGAGTGTAGTGGAGCAATCTCAGCTCACTGCAACCTCTGCCTCCTGGGTTCAAGTGATTCTCTTCCCTCAGCCTTCTGAATAGCTGGAATTATAGGCATGTGCCACTGCACCCAGCTTATTTATATATATATATATATATATATATATATTTTTTTTTTTTTTTTTTTTTTTTTTTTTTGAGTCGGAGTTTCGCTCTTGTTACCCAGGCTGGAGTGCAATGGCGCGATCTCAGCTCACCGCAACCTCCGCCTCCTGGGCTCAGGCAATTCTCCTGCCTCAGCCTCCTAAGTAGCTGGGATTACAGGCACGCACCACCATGCCCAGCTAACTTTTTTGTATTTTTAGTAGAGACGGGGTTTCACCTTGTTGACCAGGATGGTCTCGATCTCTCGACCTCGTGATCTACCCGCCTCGGCCTCCCAAAGTGCTGGGATCACAGGCTTGAGCCACCGCGCCCGGCTATATTTTTAATAGAGATGGGGTTTCACCATGTCACCAAGGCTGGTCACAAACTCTTGATCTCAGGTGATCCACCCGCCTTGGCCTCCCAAAGTGCTGGGATTACTGGTGTGAGCCACTGCACCCAGCCAATTGCCAGAGTGTCTTTGGTTTCCACAAAGAATGGGGTGGTGGAAATGGGATAGTTAGAATCAAGGAAGAATTTACTGAGTGAAAGCAAGGGATTAAATCCTGAAATGAACTTCCCCCACCATAATCTCTGTTTCCTGGACATATTTAAGAATAGCATCGTGTGTGTGTGTGTGTGTCCTCAACCAAGAAAGAATAATTTTATTGTTGTTATTATTTTTTTGAGACAGATCTTGCTCTGTCGCCCAGGCTGGAGTGCAGTGGTGCAATCTCAGCTCACTGTAACCACCAGCTCTTGGGTTCAAGCAATTCTCCTGCCTCAGCCTCCTGAGTAGTTGGGATTACAGGTGCACACCACCATGCCTGGCTAATTTTTTTTGTATTTTTAGTAGAGATGGGGTTTCACCGTGGTGATCAGGCTGGTCTTGAACTCCTGACCTCATGATCCACCCGCCTTGGCCTCCGAAAGTGCTGGGATTACAGGTGTGAGCCACCACACCCCACTGTTATTATTTATATATATTTTTTGAGACAGGGTCTTGTCACCCAGGCTGGAGTACAGTGGCTACAATAGCTCACTATAGCTTCGAACTCCTAAGCTCAAGCAATCTTCCTCCCTCAACCTCTCAAGTAGCTAAGACCACAGGCTGTGCCATCATACCTAATTTTTTATTTTTTTATTTTTGTAGGGGCAAGGTCTCGTTATGTTGCTCAGGTTCAGGCTGGTCCTGAACTTCCGGTTGTTTTTTTGGTTTTTTGTTTGTTTGAGACAGAGACTCGCTCTGTCACCCAGGCTGGAGTGCAATGGTGAAATCTCAGCTCACTTCAACCTCTGGCTCCCAGATTTAAGCACTGGGGGCCGGGCGTGGTGGCGCATGCCTGTAATCCTAATATTTTGGGAGGCTGGACCAGCTCGTCCCCAGATCACTCCACACATCTGTGGATATAACAGCATTATACATATGTAGAAGGGAGAGTTTCTGGAAAATGCCACCCTTTGAATCTCTGTCCAGTGTTTCTTTTTTTTTTTTTTTTTTTTGAGACGGAGTTTTTGTTCTTGTTACCCAGGCTGGAGTGCAATGGCACGATCTCAGCTCACCGCAACCTCCGCCTCCTGGGTTCAAGCAATTCTCCTGCCTCAGCCTCCTCAGTAGCTGGGATTACAGGCACGTGCCACCATGCCCAGCTAATTTTTTTTTTGTATTTTTAGTAGAGACGGGGTTTCACCATGTTGACCAGGATAGTCTCGATCTGTCGACCTCGTGATCCACCCATCTTGGCCTCCCAAAGTGCTGGGATTACAGGCTTGAGCCACCGCGCCCGGCAAGAATTCTACCACTGGGCCACCAATGCTTCTCTCCCAGTGTTTCTTTTGACTGTCTTTCTCGCAGGAGGAGTTTCGCTCCTGGTAGCTGGGTTTTTAGGCAAGGGGATATAGCTGTGATGGGCTGTTCCAGGGCTAAAACCACCTCACTGAGCTCATTCACGGTACGTGTGTGTAGGCAACATAGCAAGGTCAAGAGATCCAGACCATCCTGGCCAACAATGGTGAAACCATGTCTCTACTAAAAATATAAAAATCAGCCAAGTGTGGTGGCACGCGCTTGTAGTCCCAGCTACTTGGGAGGCTGAGGCAGGAGATTCATTTGAACCTGGGAAGCAGAGGTTGCAGTGAGCTGAGCTCATGCCACTGCACTCCAGCCTTGTGACACAGCGAGACTCAGTCTAAGAAAAAAAAAAAAAGTCAACAGCATATTACGTCTAGCTTAAACTACTGGCATGTTGGATTTTAGAGTCTAGAATGATCAGAGAATATCTAGTCATGAAATTGAGGGGAAGAGACCTGGTTAAAACCTGCAGAACTCTCCACCTGCCTTAGGCTAGTCACAACCACATTGTAAACCTCACCTTGAACAATAAAACGTTTTATAACATATAAGGTGTATCAAGGTTGCAAAGACAGTTCTTCATGAATTATAATTTAAAAAAATATCAGCTGCTTCCTGATTCCAATCCCCAGAGGTTACCATTTTTAATACTTAGAGCTGTTTATTTCCTTCCACAATTCTAAGTAACATGCTGGCTGTGTGCAGTGGCTCAAGCAAGACCTCTTCTCTACTTTATTTTTATTATTTATTTGTTTTTGTTTTTGAGACAGAGTCTCCACCTGTCACCCAGGTTGGAGTACCATGGTGCAATCTCAGCTTACCACAACCTCTGCCTCCCAGGTTCAAGCAATTCCTGTGCCTTAGCCTCCCAAGAAGCTAGGGTTACAGGCATGAACCACCAGGCCCAGTTAATTTTTGTATTTTTAGTAGAGACAGGGTTTCACCATGTTGGCCAGGCTGGTCTCAAACTCCTGGCCTCAAGTGATCCACCCAACTTGGCCTCTCCAAAAGTGCTGATATTACAGGCGTGAGCCACTGCGCTCGGCCACACCTTGCTATCTGAACAGCTGCACTATATTCTTGTGAGCTGGTGTCCGTAATTTATGTAACCATCACCCACAGATGGACATCAAACCTTTAGCCCTTCCCCAGGACGCTGCAGTGACTCTTGGACACATACTTTTGTGCACACCTGTGGATACAACAGCGGTATACATATGTAGAAGGGGGAGTTTCTGGAAAATGCCACCCTTTGAATCTCTGTCCAGCGTTTCCTTTGACTGTCTTTCTCGCAGGAGGAGTTACGCTCCTGGTAGCTGAGTTTTTAGGCGAGGGGACATAGCTCTGATGGGCTGTTCCAGGGCTAAAACCACCTCACTGAGCTCATTCACGGTGCATGTGTGTGTGTCCAGGTTTATAACACACTGCGCCACGCCGTGGGGACCATGTATAGGAACGAGGGCCCCTTGGTCTTCTACAAAGGCTTGACCCCCACCTTGATCGCCATCTTCCCCTACGCCGGGCTGCAGTTCTCCTGCTACAGTTCCTTGAAGCACATGTATGAGTGGGCCATGCCAGCCGAAGGAAAGAAAAATGGTGAGGCGGCCCTCACATGAGAGGGAACCTTCCCACCCTAGCTGCCAGAACGCCCCCTTCCATCCACATCATGAAGGAGCTAAAATTCTCCTGTCCGAAGGGAAGACCCTGCGGGTCCCTATGCCTGCCTCTGTAATGTGGCAAACAAAACAACTGCAACTGCTTGCAGAGGACTTGATTTCTTCCAGCTCCTGCCACACCTATCACTGGCATGACTGAAATTTACTTCCAGTGACTGGTCGTGGTTTTTATTTTTATCAGAAGTCCAAATTGCAAACTGCTTGTTTTTTGGTTGAGGTTCTTCGGTTGCTTTTTCTGGGCAGGGGGAGTCGAGGGGTGGCGGTGGGGGGAGGCTGCGGAGGGGTGGGGCATCCTGGTCCCTCTCCAGCCCTGAACTGAGTCACACTGCAGAAGCTGAGGCCCACATTGCCTCCAGCTGAGGGACTGCCACCACCAGCCCATCCAGCCTGGATCACTCCGCCGGAAGTGGCTGTGTGGCTGTCCTCCGCGTAGATTACATTCCTCTTTGGAATGGGAGGACCAGCAGAGGTCAGGCTGAAGTGCTGGCCTTGGGTTTGGTTGGTGGTGGGGGCTCAGCCCTGGCACCTTTCAAATCGTGCCTCACAGACTGCATTTCTCTCATCTGTTCTCCCCACCCCACTTTTCTGGTTCAGAGAACCTCAAAAATCTGCTTTGTGGCAGTGGAGCTGGTGTCATCAGCAAGACCCTGACATATCCCCTGGACCTCTTCAAGAAGCGGCTACAGGTTGGAGGGTTTGAGCACGCCAGAGCTGCCTTTGGCCAGGTGAGCCATTCATTCCCGGGCAGACAGCTCTGACCCTTGCCATCACTGGGCACATGAGGGAACCAGTAGTCAGCTCTACCCATTGGGCAGCTTGGCCCCTGGCCATGGCCCCTTCACCTCCAGTTCATCCCTGGAGATCCCCAAGTATATGGAAAAGCTGCACACAAGCCCTGGGTCCTGTGCACTGTGGAGGGATCTGGGCCAAGGATATACAGTGTCTGCTCTTTTTTCTTCTTTAAAATAGAGGCAGGGTCGGCCGGGAGGGGTGGCTCATGCCTGTAATCCCAGCACTTTGGGAGGCCGAGGCGGGCAGATCACAAGGTCATCCTGGCCAATGTGGTAAAACCCCGTCTCAGGGCCGGGCGCGGTGGCTCACGCCTGTTAATCCCAGCACTTTGGGAGGCCGAGGCGGGTGGATCATGAGGTCAAGAGATCGAGACCATCCTGGTCAACATGGTGAAACCCCGTCTCTACTAAAAATACAAAAAATTAGCTGGGCATGGTGGTGTGTGCCTGTAATCCCAGCTACTCGGGAGGCTGAGGCAGGAGAATTGCCTGAACCCAGGAGGCGGAGGTTGCGGTGAGCCGAGATCGCGCCATTGCACTCCAGCCTGGGTAACAAGAGTGAAACTCTGTCTCAAAACAAACAAACAAACAAACAAAACCTGTCTCTACTAAAAATACAAACATTAGCTGGGGGCCGGGTGTGGTGGCTCATGCCTGTAATCCAGGCACTTTGGAGGCCAAGGTAGGCGGATCACCTGAGGTTGGGAGTTCAAGACCAGCCTGACCAACATGGTGAAACCCCGTCTTTTAAAAAAAAAAAATTAGCTGAGCATGGTGGCACACGCCTGTAGACCCAGCTACTCAGTAGGCTGAGGCAGGAGAATCACTTGAACCTGGGAGGTGAAGGTTGCAGTGAGCCAAGATTGCGCCACTGCACTCCAGCCTGGTGACAGAACAGGACTCCGCCTCAAAAAAAAAAAAAAAGATAGAAGCAGGGGCTCACTGTTTCCTAGGCTGGTCTTGAACACTCCTGACTCCACCTCCCAAAGTGCTGGAATTACAGGCATGAGCCACTGCACCTAGCCCAGTTTCTGCTCTTAAAACATGTCCAGACAGGAGGCTGAGGCAGGAGAATTGCCTGAACCCAGGAGGCGGAGGTTGCGGTGAGCCGAGATCGTGCCATTGCACTCCAGCCTGGGTAACAAGAGCGAAACTCTGTCTCAAAAAAAAAAAAAAAAAAAAAAAATGTCCAGAGGCTGGATGTAGTGACTCACGCCTATAATCCCAGCACTTTGGGAAGCCGAGGCAGGTGGATCTCCTGAGGTCAGGCGTTCAAGACCAGCCTGATCAACATGGTAAAACCCCGTCTCTACAAAAATATAAAAATTAGCCAGGAGTGGTGGCAGGCGCCTATAGTTACAGCTACTCAGGAGGCTGAGACAAGAGATTTGCTTGAACCCAGGAGGCGGAGGTTGCAGTGAGCTGAGATAGCACCACTGCACTCCAGCCTGGGCAACAGAGCAAGACGCCATCTCAAAACGAACAAACAAACATGTCCGTACAGTGTCGACATAGAATACATTCACATGGCCGGGCGCGGTGGCTCAAGCCTGTAATCCCAGCACTTTGGGAGGCTGAGGCGGGTGGATCACAAGGTCAAGAGATCGAGACCATCCTGGTCAACGTGGTGAAACCCCGTCTCTACTAAAAATACAAAAAAAATTAGCTGGGCATGGTGGCACATGCCTGTAATCCCAGCTACTCAGGAGGCTGAGGCAGGAGAATTGCCTGAACCCAGGAGGCGGAGGTTGCGGTGAGCCGAGATCGCGCCATTGCACTCCAGCCTGGGTAACAAGAATGAAACTCCGTCTCAAAAAAAAAAAAAAAAAAAAAAGAATACATTCACATGAGGAAGGTCCCCAAATATTAAAAAACAGGAGTTTTGCTGTAGCTGTTCTGGAATGGGGTGAATTGAATTTGAGCAGCATATATATATATATGTATGTATGTATGTATTTTTTTTTCTGGATGGTCAACATTCCTAGTACACAGAAAGTACAACTGAGGGCCAGGCATAATCCCAGCACTTTGGGAGGCCAAGGTAGGCGGTTCACTTGAGGTCAAGAGTTCAAAGCTGGGCGCGGTGGCTCAAGCCTGTAATCCCAGCACTTTGGGAGGCTGAGGCGGGTGGATCACGAGGTCAAGAGATCGAGACCATCCTGGTCAACATGGTGAAACCCCGTCTCTACTAAAAATACAAAAAATTAGCTGGGCATGGTGGCGCATGCCTGTAATCCCAGCTACTCGGGAGGCTGAGGCAGGAGAATTGCCTGAACCCAGGAGGCGGAGGTTGCGGTGAGCCGAGATCGCGCCATTGCACTCCAGCCTGGGCAACAAGAGCGAAACCCCGTCTCAAAAAAAAAAAAAAAAAAGAAGAGTTCAAGACCACCCTGGCCAACATGGTAAAACCATGTCTCACATGGTGAAACTCCATCTCTACTAAAAATATATAGTTGAGATGAGTCTACTAAAAATTTTTTTTCAAGACTGAGTCTCACTGTCACTTAGGCTGGAGTGACTCGAAGGCCAAACGGTGGAGTGACTTGAACAGCAGGTCTTGGGGTTTGGACCTGATTTCTCATTATGTCCTTGTCACTAGGATTATTGCAGCTTTTGGAGGGGAAGCCAGGCCTGAGGACTGTGCCTGGGGACGAAAGGCTGGCAGCAGTGTGTGAAGTTAGCTGGAGAGGGTGAGGCTGAAGGCAGGGAGGCCCGGCTGAGATGAAGGGTCAGAGACACCTCTGGGAAGAGGTTTCTGAGCTGTTGCTGGATCCTCTGGAGCCATAGGCAGCCGTTCTTCCTGGGCATGAAGAAGTTCTGTCTAGCTGCTGACTTCTTGGCCTATCATCTGTTCAGTCTTAACCCAATTGCAGTAGAAAGAATGAGGTTAATTTATTTGCTATTTTGAGCCAGGTGTGGTTGCCCACACCTGTAATCCCAGTACTTTGGGAGGCTGAGGCAGGTGGATCACCTGAGGTCTGGAGTTCAAGACCAGCCTGGACAACATGGTGAAACTCTGTCTCTACTAAAAATACAAAAAATCAGCCAGGCATGGTGGTGTGTGCCTGTAATCCCAGCTACTTGGAAGGAAGAGGCAGGAGAATCGCTTGAACCCAGGAGGCAGAGGCTGTAGTGAGCCAAGATTGTGCCACTGCACTCCAACCTGGGCAACAGAGTGAGACTCTGCCTCAACAAAAAATAAAAATAAAAATATTTGCTATTTTGCATTCATTGCTTTGTCCAAGTACTTCTTGAGAGCTGTGGCGTGCCAAGGCCTGTGTTGACGGCAGCAGAGTGGACATCCATCTCTCGCCCCTTTCCTATCCCCAGGTGCGGAAATACAAGGGCCTCGTGGACTGTACCAAGCAGGTGCTGCAAGAGGAAGGTACCCTGGGCTTCTTCAAGGGCCTGTCCCCCAGCCTGCTCAAGGCTGCCCTCTCCACGGGCTTCATGTTCTTCTGGTATGAATTCTTCTGTAACGTCTTCCACTGCATGAACAAGACAACCAGCCAGCACTAAGGGCAGGAAGGACCCCAGGTCTCCCTGGAGGCAGCCTCCTAAAGGAAGGAAGACTCAGTCTCCACTGAGAGGTGCCACCTTGGCCTTTCCCTGCCGCCTAGCTGCCCTGAGCAGCGTGGCGACCTTGAACCCATCCAGCTGGGACACGACCAGAAGGTCCAGGGCATTCCCAGTGAGAGAATCAGAGGGAATGCAGGACGTGGGCTGTGGTGAACCAACGATCCAACGATGTCGTGAGAAGGAGCATGAAGTTGCCGTTTCTCCTCTGACCAGCCCACACTCCAAAGGAAACAGACACCATCCTACACCCGTCAGCCAGAACGCAACACTCCTGGTCTGGATGGGGCTGCAGCTGGAGTGCAGAGGGCTGTGCTAGGGCCTCTGCAGGAGTCAGGGCCTCACACTTGGCCTGTTTTTCCCAACCTATTTAATAGACATTAAAGCTAAACGTACATTCCTTATCTTATTCCTCCATCTCCTCTGGCCCATCTCCTTCCTGTTCAGTTTGAGGGAAGGGACTCCTGCCTTCCTCAAATCCTTTGTTCTCCATAGCTGCGGCCCTTGGCACATCTGCTGGTGCTGGTGGAGACTCCAGGCTGAAGCCAGTCACTTCCTGGGCCCCATGCCCAGATCTTGGTGTCTGCAGACACACCACCACCCGCGCTGTCCTCTCCCAGGACCAGGCTGGCCATGGCTATGGGGCTCAGTGGGACTCCATGGGAAGTAGATCTCAGCGCCTGTGCAGGAAGCAGAGGCCATGCCATAGGCAGGCATGGGTGAAGGTGCAGCCTTTCCCCAGTCTACAGGCTCCTCTTTCACCCTGGGCTGGGTCAGCCTTGTTGGGTGAGGAGCTGTTGGCAGGACAGGTGGCATCAGTACTCACTGCCTGCTTGGGTGTATCCTCCCTTGTAGCCCCACAAGGGTGGGGGCTCTGAAGCAGCCCCCTGATGGGGATGGGAGAAGGAAGGGGCGGGCGGGCAGCCTGGTGAGGGCACAGCTGGTACCTAGGGTGTTACCAAAGCACAGGGACACCCACAGGTGGAGAGGCAGAGGAGAAACCAGTTCCAGGCTGAGGGGAGGGCTCCAGAATACGACCTTCACCCTTCCCTCCACCTGCTTGGCCTGTGGGGTTGCTTTCACCTGGGGGGAGCTCTCCATTATGCCTCCCTCTCCAGCCCTGGCCCTGGTGTGTGGGTCCTGGGCTCCTCGCACCATCCTTCCTTGCCTCTGGTCCGGGATTTGGGGGTCTGTCTGGGCCCTGAATCCTGGGGCTTCTTGGCTCTGGGCTGCTGGTTCCCAAGGTCCAGGCTGCGGCGGAGCCCGCGGGGATGCAGCTACCTGGATGTGTTTTTTATTTTCATTTTTTGAGACGGAGTCTCCTTCTTGCTGCCCAGGCTGGAGTGCAATAGCGCAACCTCGGCTCACCGAAACCTCCTCCTCCCAGGTTCAAGCGATTCTCCGGCCTCGGTCTCCTGAGTAGCTGGGATTGCAGGTATGCGCTACTACGGCCAATTTTTTAAAAATATTTTTAGTAGAGACGGGGTTTCTCCATGTTGGTCAGGTTGGTCTCAACCTCAGCTGATCTGCCCGCCTCGGCCTCCCAAAGTGCTGGGATTACAGGTGTAAGCCACCGCGCCCGGTCTGAATGTATTTTTTATGAAATTCCGTTAAACTGTCTTCTCTTCCTTTCTCCTGCCCATTAGTTTCTTTTGCTGCAGCTGAGCGTTCTTTTCCTCGTCCGTTTTCGGTGACCACTTTGGCGGTTCTTTTAACAGGAGGCCGCAACCCGGGCAGCGCTTCTCGCGGTCCCGCGGCAGGAGCGGCGACAGTTCTTCCCGCCTTCTAGGTGCCCTCCTGTCACTCAGGGCAGACGCCGGGCGGTGGCGTCCGCGCCCCTTCAGGGGCACTCGTAACACCCGACGGCCGCGAGTTGCCCACGGGGCCCCTTTCTCCGGGCTGCACCTCTGACCTGAAACTCGCTACGCCCACGTCCTTGGAGCGGGAGGGGGTCGTGGCTGGCCCCGGCCCTGCAGCCCCCGCCTTCTCTACCTTGGTTGGAGGAGCGGGGAACGTGGTGTGACCAGGACAGATACCGTCTCTCCTGCCACCGGGTCCCCACCACACCCTGTGCAGGCTTCTTCCACGCCGCGCGGCCCAGCGGTGTCTCCCGCCCCCTCACCCCGGTGCACCTGAGCTCGGGGAGGGCCGGGTGCGGGGCCAGGCGCAAGACCGAGGAGCTGGCGGGTCCGGCGTGGGCCCGGAGAGGGCCGGGGCGCAGCGGGTGAGGAGGGGACGGGCCGAGCGAGCTACACCTGGCTGGGGGTGGCAGCGTCGCAGGGTCCCCCGGGTCTCCGACTGGGCCCCACGCGGTCGACTTGGCTTCCGGGGCTGCCCGTCGGCCAGGGCAGTGCCGCGGGGGGCCGGCAGGTGGCGCGGGCGAGCCGGCCCTTCCCCGGCGCCGCGCGAGGAGATGAGCTCACAGCGGCCCCCGCAGCGCCTGACGCGGGTTGCGCGCTCCCAGCCGACAGGCGGCCCCGGGCACGCGCGCGCGCCGCCGGTCCGGCAGGTGGGTCCCGCTGCCCACGCCGCCTCTCCAGCCTGCGGGGACGCTGGACCTTGGGGTCCGCAGTCCGCCCTGTGCCGCCGGGAGGGGCGTTCCGGGCTCGGTGGGGAGCGGCCGAGGGCTGGAGACTCCAAAGGCGCCTCCTATGGCCAGCGGGGAGCCGCCGGCGGAAGCCACCTCTCGAGGGCGCATCATCCTGTCCCCCCCACCCCCCGTAAGAGGAAGGATCCAGAATGGAGCTCAGGAATTAGGAGTCTCGAGTGGGTAGGGCCGGGTTGCCGCCACTTTGGGGCCGGTTCGACCAGTCTGTCCCGGGGAGAAGCTGGCCGGGCCGGGGAGTCCCCATCCGCACAGGCCGGCCCCACCCGGGGGATGCAGCAGCGGGTGCTTAGACCGAAGGACTCGGCGAAAGCTGGGAAGAGAGGGTTTGAGACAGAGGTTCGGAGCCCTGCTGGGGACAGAGCCGCGCCGCTTAGAGTTCCCAGCCTGACCCTCACACGGCATCATGCCGGGCCAGCAGCGTCAGGCCGGTTTCTTTAAGCAACTCTAACGTCCGCCCGCACACACCCTGCCCCAGTCCACCCCTGCCTCCTGCTGGGAGTAGAGGGTGGGCGCTTTCCTGCTTCAGCTTCTCGCTCTTGTGTAATCCCGCAAGCGTGGGGTTTCTAAACCGAGCAGCAGGTGCCTGGCTGATGCCCAGTCCCCGCCAGAAGCCAAGCCTGGCGGGCCCTCAGCCAACTACAACCGTTGCACGCCACGGACTGCACAGGAGCCCCTGTCCCGAGCGCCGTCAGCCCCGCCCAGGGCCTGCAGGACAGAACCCACCCTGGGCTCCACACCTGAGGCCGTTCCCTTCGCCTCTTCTCCCCAGGTGCTGTCCTTAGTCCCAGCCCAGTCAAGAGCTACCGGGACTGGCTGGTCATGGGGGAGCCCAGTAGAGAGGAGTATAAAATCCAGTCCTTTGATGCAGAGACCCAGCAGCTGCTGAAGACAGCACTCAAAGGTGAGCACGGGAGCCCTTCCTGAGCTGGGATCAGGAGCCACAGAGAAGGGCCCCTGTGGGCAGCACCAGAGGGCTGAGCCTGGCGAATGCCTCCATCATTCTGTGATGATAGGTGTCGGCAGTGTAATTCTTGAACTGGAAGACAAGCTACATGTTAGGTCATTATTCTGGAGTATGAGTCACAGTCACCTTTCAGACTGTAAAGACTTTTTAAAAAGCTTAACCATAGGGCCAGGCGCAGTGGCTCATGCCAGGCGCAGTGGCTCATGTTCCAGCACTTTGGAAGGCCAATGTCGATGGATTGCTTGAGTCCAGGAGTTCAAGAGCAGTCTGGGAAATATGGGGCAAACCCCATCTCTACAAAAAAAAAAGAAAGAAAGAAAGAAATTGAAAAATTAGGCCAGCATGGTGGGGCGTAACTGTGTCCCAGCTACTTAAGATGCTGAGGTAGGAGGACTGATTGAGCCTGGGAAGGTGAGGGTGCAGGTTCCATGAGCCTGCCACTGCACTCCAGCCTGGGTAAGAGAGCGAGACCCTGTCTCAGATTTTAAAAAGTTTAACCATATGCCGGGCGCGGTGGCTCACGCCTGTAATCCCAACACTTTGGGATGCCGAGGCGGGTGGATCACGAGGTCAAGAGATCGAGACCATCCTGGTCAACATGGTGAAACCCCGTCTCTACTAAAAATACAAAAAATTAGCTGGGCATGGTGGCGCGTGCCTGTAATCCCAGCTATTCAGGAGGCTAAGGCAGGAGAATGGCCTGAACCCAGGAGGCAGAGGTTGCGGTGAGCCGAGATCGCACCATTGCACTCCAGCCTGGGTGACAAGAGTGAAACTCCGTCTCAAAAAAAGAAAAAAAAAAGTTTAACCATAAAAAAAGAACACAGCTCATACCCTTGAAGTGCTCACATTTGAATTGCCCGTTTCTGCATTGCGATGGCCCTCCCTCTTGAATGCACAGCTGCCTGCTTTGAGACAGAAGATGGAGAATATTCCATTTGCCAGAGGAGCTATAGTTATTCCCCTGGCCTAATGCCTTCCTGCTGTAACAGGTGGGACAGAAGTTTGTCTTTAACAATTAGCAAGACCCATCATGTGCCAAGCCAAGCCTGTTGGGAGGCCCTGTGTGGCCCTCTCTTGTTGGGGATTTGTATATGTGTAGTATAAGAACACTTTTTCGCTGGCCGGGTGCGGTAGCTCACGCCTGTAATCCCAGCACTTTGGGAGGCCAAGGCAGGCGGATCACCTGAAGTCAGGAGCTCAAGACCAGCCTGACTAACATGGTGAAACCCTGTCTCAAAAACAAACAAACAAAAACAAACAAACAAAAAAACACTTTTTCGGCTGGGCACAGTGGCTCAAGCCTGTAATCCCAGCACTTTGGGAGGCCGAGGCCGGTGGATCATGAGGTCAAGAGATCGAGACCATCCTGGTCAACATGGTGAAACCCTGTCTCTACTAAAAATACAAAAATTAGCTGGGCGTGGTGGCGCGTGCCTGTAATCCCAGCTACTCAGGAGGCTGAGGCAGGAGAATTGCCTGAACCCAGGAGGTGGAGGTTGCGGTGAGCCGAGATCTCGCCATTGCACTCCAGCCTGGGTAACAAGAGCGAAACTCCGTCTCAAAAAAAAGAACACTTTTTCTTGTGAAATTGCTGTTGGAGACGTGTCCTGGTCAGTATTCCTTCCCTGACCTAGTGCCAGGAAAAGATGCGTTTCCTGAAAAACGATATTCTTATTTTGATTGGTCCGTTTCAGCCACGTACCCTCATTTTCTCTGACTGGGAAACCAGAAGACAGACAGCTAAAGCTGTTCATTTGTAAGGTTACTGTCCTCTTTTTTTTCTTTTGAGACAGTTTCGCCCTTGTTGCCCAGGCTGGAGTGCAATAGCACGATCTCAGTTCCCTGCAACCTCTGCCTCCCAGGTTTAAGTGATTCTCCTTCCTCAGCCTCCCAAGTAGCTGGGACACAGGCCCCTGCCACCATGCCTGGCCCACATTGGCCAGGCTGATCTTGAACTCCTGACCTTGTGATCCACCCGCCTCAGCCTCCCAAAGTGCTGGGATTAACGGCGTGAGCCACTGCTCCCAGCCCTCTGTATGAAATTCCTTTTTTTTTTTTTTTTTTTTTTTTTTTTTTTGAGACAGAGTCTTGCTTTGTCACCAAGGCTGGAGGGCAATGGTGCTATCTCGGCTCACTGCAACCTCCGTCTCCTGGGTTCAAGCGATTCTCCTGCCCCAGCCTCCTGAATAGCTGAGATAACATGAGATGACAGGTGTGAGCCACCATCCCCAGCTAATTTTTGTAGTTTTAGTAGAGATGGTGTTTCACCATGTCGGCCAAGCTGGTATCAAACTCCTGACCCCAGGTAATCCACCCACCTCGGCCTCTCAAAATTGCTAGAATTACAGGCGTGAGTCATCGCACCTGGCCATGATTTCTAAGTACCATGCACTAACCGATCGCACTACTGGAGCCACTGTCCTCTGTATGATTTCTGATCTCTTTCACTTCAAGCGTATGAGAGTGCTCTACTGTAAATATCAACAACTTCTTAGAAGTGGGTGGAGGCAAATGTGATAAAGCAGCAGCTCTAGACTCCCCTCCTATCTCTACCCTTAGATCCAGGTGCTGTGGACTTGGAGAAAGTAGCCAATGTGATTGTGGACCATTCTCTGCAGGACTGTGTGTTCAGCAAGGAAGCAGGACGCATGTGCTACGCCATCATTCAGGTTGGGGGTTGGGAGAGTAAAGGAAGCTGCTTTGAGAAAGGTGCTTCAGGAGTGGGCAGAAGGCCTGGCCTGCAGGACAGACAGGCATAGGATGGGTGGGGTTGCAGGGGCACCACCCCCCCCCACACCCTTCACCTTCCTCTCCCTGGCTCACAGGCAGAGAGTAAACAAGCAGGCCAGAGTGTCTTCCGGCGCGGACTCCTCAACCGACTGCAGCAGGAGTTCCAGGCTCGGGAGCAGCTGCGCGCACGCTCCCTGCAGGGCTGGGTCTGCTATGTCACCTTTATCTGCAACATCTTTGACTACCTGAGGGTGAGGCCCGGGCAGCCACCCTGGGAGGCAGACATGGCCGTCTCCTGAGGCCTAGGTTGGACTGCTCCCCTTGGTCACTAAGCCCGGTGCTCTGGCCCCTCCTCCCTCTCACAGGTGAACAACATGCCCATGATGGCCCTGGTGAACCCCGTCTATGACTGCCTCTTCCGGCTAGCCCAGCCAGACAGTTTGAACAAGGAGGAGGAGGTGGGTGGCCCCAGTCCCAGCATAGGCACAGAAGCCTGCGGGATGAACAGTCTGGCTCAGCCGACTGCCAGTCCACTGCTCAGTGAGGACTTTGAGGACATCACTTCTGGGGCAGGAGTGTGGGGGTGTTTAAGGCCTGTCAGAGTTACATGACCAGCTGTCAGGTCTGGAATTTATCCAGAACAGATAGCAGCCAAAACCTACTGTTTCAGCAGCTTCCTTCCCAGTTAGAAAGCCAACCTATGATGGTGGCCATGCGAGCCATGGCCAGCTGTGGGTACAGATGGCCCTGAGGCCAAACCAGGGTCAGGCAATGTGGGGAGGCAGGAGAGTGGTATGAAGTGGTTTGGAGACAGGCATTGAGTGGAGCCTGGCTAGATGAGGGAACTCAGTCAAGTCCCTGAACTCGTTTCTTCCTCTGTAAGATGTGGAAATACCCACTGGATGAAGAGGGAGCAAGAGAACAAGTGTAAACGCAAAGCACAGCGCCCGGCACTCAGCAAATGCTGTGAGAAGCTGGCCCTGCCCTGGTTCACTCGTGTCACTCCCACTGTCCCCTGCAGGTGGACTGTTTGGTGTTGCAGCTGCACCGAGTTGGGGAGCAGCTGGAGAAAATGAACGGGCAGCGCATGGATGAGCTCTTTGTGCTGATCCGGGATGGCTTCCTGCTCCCAACCGGCCTCAGCTCCCTGGCCCAGCTGCTGCTGCTGGAGATCATTGAGTTCCGGGCAGCCGGCTGGAAGACGACACCAGCTGCCCACAAGTATTACTACAGCGAAGTCTCTGACTAGGCCTCCAGATCAGGGCTAACTTGCCAGCACCAGCCTTTCTTCTATCCACCTCTGAAGCTGGCAGTGGAGTCTCTGCCCCTCCCAGACTTTGAGCGTCTTCCCTTCTAGACTTTCTCATCTCCTGGTGAGATGTTTCCCACTTACGCCATGGTCCTGCCCTGAGCCCCTTCCCCCACCACCTCCCACCAAGGCCAGGCAGAGAAGGGCAGCTCCTAAGAGCCACTACACTGTGTAACCATTACTGTAACTGCTACCTTGGTGCCTCAGTTTCCCCATCTGTAAATCGGGTAAGCATAGCCATTGGTAGGATGCTTTGGGATATCAAGGGGCAGAGGCAGAGCACAAGTCACACCAGAAACTACTTTTTATACATTTTGTACAAAGACAACTTGGGAAACAAGCCTATTTCCTCCAGGGAGTTTCAGTGAATGGTGGCACTGCACCACATGCTATACCAGGTCAGCGTCAGAATTTTCCAATAAATCTTTTCTGATACTAAAACTGCTTCCTTTTATATCCAAAGGTCCACCCCAAGCTGAGGGAAGAGAAGACTGGGACCTGAGTTTCCTGCAGGAAATCCCCAAGTCAATGTGGGGTCTTTACAAGGCAATGGGGGCAGAGAGAGCAAGTTCTAGCCTCAAAGAAAGGATTCCTGGACAGTAAATGTGCTACTGCATCTTTCTTCTGAGGCTTGCCCACCCTTACAAAGCAGCTACATCCTTAATCAAAGGTATTTTTCAGTGTGCAGTGGCTCACACTGTTTCTTGCGGCAGAGGGCTCTGGGCTCCTGGAGCCTCTACCACCAGCGGTAGTGAGCCAGGGCACGGTTGGCCTCAGCCATCTTGTGCATGTCATGCTTCCTCTTGACGACGGGGCCCTGGTTATGAAAAGCCTCCAGCAGCTCGTGTGACAGCTTCTCCGGCAACATTGTTCGCCGATGCTTGTTCTCCCGGCACTCAGTGATCATCCACTTCATGGCCAGGAAGCGGCGACGTCGGTCGGGTAGGGATGTAGGGACCTGGGTGAGAGGTCATAGGCAAGTTCATCCAAGAATCTGCCAGGCTTGGGGCTTACACGGTGCCTTTGGGTCAGGCCTGGGGAGAAGGGCCTGTCTTTTCTTCTCTGAGCTTCCCTCACCTTCAAGTGAGCTCAATGTAGCAGACACAAGAGGCATTCATTCAGCAAACACTCATTAAGCACTGGCTTCTCCAGGCACAGTGGCTCACACCTATAATCCCAGAACTTTAGGAGGCTGAGGAAGGAGGATGGCTTGAGCCCAGGAGTTCAAGATCAGCCTGGTCAGAATAACAAGACCCTGTCTCCATATATATTAAAAAGAAAAAAAAAAAAAAAAAAAAAAAAAGCCCTGGCCTTTTCCTCTCCTAAACGGTAGTCCTGCCAAGTTGTTATAAGAACCAAATGGGAAAAGCCCCATTAGCTGGGGTGACTTACCCACCTCATACCATAGGTACTTAAAGACAAGACTCCTTCAGTATCTATGAGAACAGTTAAAGAAGGCCAAGGCAGGTGGATCGCCAGAGGCCAGGAGTTCCAGACCAGGCTGGCCAACAAGGCAAAACCCCATCTCTATTAGAAATACTAAAAAATTAGCCAGGCGTGATGGTGGACACCTGTAATCCCAGCTACTGGGTGGGGGAAGTTGGAGGCTGAGGCAGGAGAATCACTTGAACCCGGGAGGTGGAGGCTGCTGAGAGCTGAGATCACACCACTGCACTCCTGCCCGGACAACAAGAGTACTCCACCTCAAAAAAAAAAAAAAAAAAAAAAAATTGAAAAAAGGACAAGAAGCAAGACCCTGTAAGAACGCTTAAAGAAAAACAAGCCCCTGTGTCCAAAAATTACTTGCCAGGCCCTCACTATGTGTCAGGTACCACGCCAGACACTAGAGGGCAGACAAATAATGAGGAAGTCCCTATCCATAAGGAGTTTTTGTTTGTTTTCTCCCGAGTTTCGCTCATGTTGCCCAGGTTGGAGTGCAACCTCTGCCTCCCGGGTTCAAGTGATTCTCCTGCCTCAGCCTCCCAAGTAGCTAGGATTACAGGCATGTGCCACAACACCCAGCTAATTTTTTTGTGTTTTTAGTAAAAATGGGGTTTTTCCATGTTGGCCAGGCCAGTCTCGAACTCCCCACCTCAGGTGATCTGCCCCTCAGCCTCCCAAAGTGCTGGGATTACAGGTGTCAGCCACCAGGCCTGTTCCCTATGGAGTTTATATTGAAAAAGAACACAGGAAAACTCACGACAATAAAATAAAATGAAATGCTATGAAAGAGATACCTAGTACCATTCAGCAAACAGTGATGAAGCATCAGTTATGGGTCAAGCACTATGCTAAGCACTGGTATAGAAAGAAAGGATATGAATAGTCCCTCACCATGAGAATTTTTTTTTTTTTTTTGAGACGGAGTTTCGCTCTTGTTACCCAGGCTGGAGTGCAATGGCGCGATCTCGGCTCACCGCAACCTCCGCCTCCTGGGTTCAAGCAATTCTCCTGCCTCAGCCTCCTGACTAGCTGGGATTACAGGCAAGCGCCACCATGCCCAGCTACTTTTTTGTGTTTTTAGTAGAGACGGGGTTTCACCATGTTCACCAGGATGGTCTCGATCTCTCGACCTTGTGATCCACCCGCCTCGGCCTCCCAAAGTGCTGGGATTACAGGCTTGAGCCACCGCGCCCGGCGAGAATTTTACAGGTTAGGACACACAGAAGGCTTGACAGAGAAAGGCCAGGTGGTGGGCTCCCAGATGTCATTCATTTAGAAACTTTTTTGCTCTCTTCCAACTTCTGCCTACTGCGTATAATTTTTATACTGCAGGACTCAGAGGAGTGGACCATGACAGCCTCAACCTTTTTTTTTTTTTTGGAGACAAGATCGATCTCTCGCCCAGGCTGGAATGCAGTAGCACAATCACAACTCACTGCAGCCTTGACCTCCTGGACTAAAGTGATCCTCCCACCTCAGCCTCCTGAGTAATTGGGACCACAGGTGCACACCACCACATCTGGCTAATTTTTTTGTAGAGACTGGGTCTCCATATGTTGTTCTACTGGTCTCTAGCTCTTCAGCTCAAGCTATCCTGCATTAGGCTCCCAAAGTGTAATCCCACTGTACCAGCTAGTGAGCTATCAATCTTGATCCAACTCCCAAGTACCACCTATGTGAGGAGAGTCCTCTTTTTTTTTTTTTGGAGACAAAGTCTCACTCTGTCGCCCAGGCTGGAGTACAGTAGAATGATCTCAGCTCACTGCAACCTCTGCCTCCCATGTTCAAGCAATTCTGTCTCAGTCTCCTAAGTATCTGGGATTACAGGCATGTGCCACCAAGTCTGGCTAATTTTTATACTTTTAGTAGAGACAGGGTTTAACCATGTTGGCCAGGCTGGTCTCAAACTCCTGACCTCAGGTGATCTACCCTCCCTGGCCTCCCAAAGTGCTGGGACTACTGGTGTGCACCACCGCAGCTGGCCTGTGGGTAGTCCTGCTTTCTTGCCCCGTCCGTTCATTCACCTGATATATACGGCCTCCTCTGAGGATAGGTACCAGCCCAATCATAGGTTCACAGTTTTTCAGTGCTTGGTGGAAGATGGTATAAGGGTTCCGTTCAATGGTTGCCTGTTCCTCTGCAGAAGCGGTATGGTACTTCTCAAACTGCTTCCTTTTCACAGCTTCCAGAGTCTGCAAAGGAATACAGTGGAAGAGGCTGCCCCAGGCTCCCTAAAAGGTTTACCTAGCCAAGCTAGTACCTTGCCTTTTACTCCCATCCTCTGGTTCTGCTATGGCAAAGCAGCTCCTCTCACAGCACATCCAAAACGAAGTTTTTAAGTGCCTCTCCCTTTGCTAGACTAGGACAAAAACAGTGGATTGAGATTTGTGGCACGGGAGGTGGGGTGGGGAATGGCAGTTGTTCTATTTTTTCCTTTTTTTTTTTTAAACTGTGTGTCTCAGGGATTTCTTTCTAGTTAAAAAAAAAAAAAAAAAAATCGTGTGTTTATTTCTGAAACACCAAGGAATGGTAGTTGTTGACTCCTACAGGCCTTCGTTAAAGCCCCTACACATGCAGGGAAGTTAATCTTAATAATAGGTATATGAATCATTTGCTGTTAAGCTACATTGGAAGTACCAAGTACAAGGCCATGGGGAGAACAGAAAGATGACTGAGGAGGGAGGTGTTGTTTACCTGAGTCATGAGGGATCTGGCCAGTATTTTGTTTCCTCCTTTCATCATCATGTTGGTGAATTTACTTCAAAGAGAAAAGCAACATGTTTAGCTCTCCAAGGCTGTATCACGGAATCCTCACCAGAGGCCCTCCCTGGGATAGTCCCAGTCCATGGAACAAGTGTTTGTTTCCATCTAACCTGACGACTGGGTCTTCAAACACAGAACTTGTTTTCGCTGCTGGAGCAGCTTTGATGAGCTGAGTCTTCTTGAGCTCCCGATCATGCTTCTCCTCCTCAGTTAGCTTCTCCACAGGCTTGCGATAATGTTCCTTGTCAATCAGGGGATCCTTGAATTCAGCACTATAGCGGCTCCACCTCACCTGAGTTAGCCTGGGAGAGGGAAGAGAAGGAGGCAAGCAAAAGCTGACTCCATAAGCGAGTAAGTTTGACTTAACAATAGGCATGATTGCCAACGCGCCGACGAGGGAGAGCGGCGCGGAGACGGCGAGCTAAACCTGAGCCACAACAATTTAGGCCCTTGTCCCAAGAAGTAGGAGGACATCTCCCAAGCAGGCGGGTAAAGTGTCCTCCTGGTCAAGTGCTAACGGCAACGATGGCTCTGCACCTGCGGCCCTCCTCCAACCCCTCCCAATTCATAGGTGATCCCAGCTCTGAGCTCTTCCGTTGAACCGCACTTTCAGCTCTGCGTTAGAAGCCGAGATCAGCCAGACCCCTTAGGCGAGAGGTAGTCACTAAGCCTTCGGATCAGCCCAAAGTCACGTAGCTAGTTTAGAAGCTTGAATCCAGATACTCCGGCCCCCAGGGCAATGCTCTCTCCAGGGCCCCACGTGGCCTGCTTGTGGTTCCCCACCTTCCACGGAGGTCCCTCCGTGTAGAACCTTCTCACCCTGCCCTGCTGCCCTCTCACCCTGGATGCTGCAACACAGCCCGCCGCACGACCAGCGCCAGGCCCGACCAACCTCGGGAAACCTTCACTGCGGAGGCAGCCATCTTGGCTGGCTACGAGGACCCCACAGAGACTGCCCTCGGCGCGCCTAAGCAAGTGACGGGAAACGGGTGACAAAAACTCCGAGGGGTCCTAAGTCTGCGTTTCACTCCACTGATCTGGGCGTCAGAGTTCCTCACTCCAGGGTCCAAAGGGAAGAGCCAAAAGGAAATACTTGCCCTCCAATATCCGTCGCAGTCTGGCGCGGCACTCGGTGACGGCACTTGCTTCCCTCAGGCCCCCATGCAGGCACCGCCCCGCCTCTGCTCGTGAGACTCTCGCGACTTTTGAGGCCGCTGGGCCGGCCCGGGAGGTTG